CTTATACAAGCTTTTCCCACCAGACACCATTCATCCCTTTGTCCAGCCTCTTCATGCTGGTGTACTACCTGCCTCATTAGTCACTTCATATCTGCTGCAGTTACCAGATCAACTATGGCAGTATGACACTGTGTTCAAGAAATCCTTATTTTACTTAGTAATGGCCTCACAGAATAAGAGTAGTAACAGTGGCAATTTGATTTTTGGATTTTTTTTTTTTTTTGGCAATTGGATAGGCCAGAGAGAAATTATAAAGTGCTTCCTTTAAGTGAAAAGGTAATAGTTCAGTAGATATTTTGTGAGACATTTCCTCACAATTTTATTATAGCATATTATTAAATTGTTTTACCTTATAATTGTTAATCTCTTACTGTGCCTAATTTATTACTTATAAGCTGTATCACATGTATGTATGTACAGTACAGGAAAACTTAGTATATGTAGGGTTTAGTACTATCCACAGTTTCAAGAATTGACTAAAGGTCTTGGAACACATTCCCCACAGATAAAGGGGAACTACTGTATCTTAAAAAAAAAAGTCAACACAAATCAAAAGGACACAAATAAAAGAATAAAAATGACATCCCATGGATGTCAGTCAAGAGAGATCAACAAGCTGTGAGTTGTTGGCAGTGAAGAGAAGACTAAAGCCAGAGATGAGAAGAGGACAATACCACTGATCTTACAGATATAAAATGACTCTAAAGAAATGATAAGAATTATATGCCAATAAATTAAAAAACTTAAGTGAAATGAAAAAAATCCCCAAAACACACAAACTATACAAAATAACTCAAAAGGAAGCAATCCGAGACTAGTGTCTAGCTCAGTAGAGTGCCTGCTTAACAAACTCAAGTCTCTAGGTTCAATCCTCAGAACTGCAAAAGAAAGAAACAATCTGAATAAAAGATAATGAATCCATAATTTTAAAAAAATACCCACAAGGAAAAGTATGGCTTCACCATTGAATTCTACCAAGGATTAAAAAAATAAAATAAAATAAACAGTTAGCTGAGCATGGTGGTGGGTACCTAGAGTCCCAGCTAAATGAGAGACTGAAGCAGGAAAATCACTTTAGTTTGAGACCAGCCTGGGAAACACAGTGAGGCTCTGTCGCAAAAATAAATAAATAAAATTAATACCAATTCTTCACAAACTCTTCCAAAAAGTAGGAGGGGAATGCTTCCTAACTCATTCTATAGAATCTAACACCAAAAACCAGATTACCTGATTACCCTGATACCAAAACCAGACAAAAGTATCATAAGAAAGCTATAAACCAATAGATATTATGAGTGTGGCCATAAACATTCTCAACAAAATACTAGAAACAAAATCTAGCAACATATGAAAAGAATTACATACTACAATGAAGTGGGGACTTATCCCCAAAGTGCAAGGTTGGTTCAATATCTGACAATCAATTCACAGGATATTTTTATTCAAAAGAATTAAAAACAAAACTCATATAATCATATCAATACACATAGGAAAAAAGAAGCATTTAACAAAAACCAACATCTTTTCCTGATAAAAACACTCAACAAACTAGGAGTAGAAGGAACTTCCTCAACCAGATAAGAGTATTTAGGACAATCCAATAGTTAACAACATATTTGATGATGAAAGAGTGGATGTATTTTTTCCTGAGATAGGAATAAGATGAGGAAGTCTGTTCCTGTCACTTCTATTCAACAATGCACTGGAGGTCTAGCTATGGCAATTAGGTAAGCAAAAGCAATAAAAGACATCAGATTGAAAGGAAGAAGTTAAAACTATCTTCACAGATGTTCTGATCTCGTCCATAAGAAAATCCAAAGGAGTCCAGCTAAGAATCATAGAACTAATAGTAATGTTCAGCAATGTTGCAAGATATAAGATCCATTATAAAAACCATCATATTGCTACAGACTTGTAACAATCTGAAAATGAAAAATTCCATTTATAATATATTAAAATTAACAAAATATTTAGGAATAAATTGATAGAAGAAATATAAAACTTACATTCTGAAACTACAAAAAATATTTTAAAACTTAAAGAATATCTACATGAGTTGAAAGGCATCACCATGGAGACTTAAACATTGTTAAAATGGCAGTGATCCCCAAAGTGAACTACCCATTCAATCCAATATCCACCAGAATTCTAGCTGCCTTTTCTATAGAAACTGACAAGCTGATGGTAAAATTCATGTGGAATTAGAGGGGATTCTGCATAGCCAAAATAATACCTCCAAAACACAAAGTAGAAAATTATTACTTCCTAATTTTAAAATGTAATATAAATACATGGCAATCAAGACAGTTTGGTACCAGCACAAGGACAGACTTAGAGACCAATGGTATAGGAGCAAAAATCCACAAATACATTCACATACAAATGGTCGACTGATTTTGGCAGGTGCTAAGTTCACCTAATGGGGAAAGCATAGTTCTTTCAACCAACATTGCTGGGACAACTGGACAGCCATATACTAAAGAATGAAGTTTGCCTTTACTACAACAATTCACTGAAAATCAGTCAAGAACTGAATGTAAGAACTAAAATTATGAAGTTCTTAGGAGAAAGCAAATGAGTATTAAATCAAGACCTTAGATTTAATAAAAGTTTCTTATACATGACAAAAAAAGCCTAAATAACATAAGGAAATAGAAAAATAAAACTTCAGCAAAATTTAGAACCTTTGTACTTCAAATGGGGTCATAATGAATGTAAAAAGACAATCCATAGAAAGGAAGAAAATATTTGCAAGTCATGTATTGATAAGGAAATTATATCCATTAACTATAAAGAAATCAGTATTAAAAACATAATCTAAGTTTAAAAAGAGCAAAAGTTTTAGTTAAACAGGAAGAATAAGTCCAAGAGATCTATTAACAACACAGTGACTAAATAATATTACATTATATTCTTGAGAAATGCTAATAGAGTGAATATAAAGTGTTCTCACACAAAAATTATGAGATAATGCATATGTTAATTAGCTAGACCTGGTCACTGTACAAAGTAAATACACTTCAAAATATCACCTTACACAATACTTACAATTTTATCTGTCAATTTAAAAAAATTAAAAATTTTAAAAG